TGCCACTGCTTACAATCTGGTCTAATTTTATAACTTTTCTATTAATAACTCATGAAACTTAACATACAGTATCAGAAAGTTAAACAGCATATAATTATAGAACAAGACAATTGTCAAGCATGAAATGTTGCCTACCGTGGCTGTTTGTAATATGTACAAATGTTATGACCTACGAAACAAGACTGATAGTTGAAATATAAAATATGAAATTAACCTTGAATTTAAAGTCAAAAGCTTTAAAAATGCTAAAGTAGATTAATTGGTTAAGGTCAAGGATATATAAGGTTAAAGGGACTCCACTGAGTTTTTTTGACATGATGGGACTGAAAATATTTTTTCCAGATAAATGTACCATTTGATATAGGTTTAGACCACTAATCTTTGTGCAAAATTTCAGATAATTGGCACACTGTGTTTTTCCAGAATAATTATTCAAATTTTAAAAAAATGACCCAAGATGAAAAGCGTTTAAACTCTTTTCACTCAAATCGGGCTAAGAAAAGCATAAAAATACGATTCTCAATTTATTTCAAAGTATATTTCTTAACTTTCTTTGCATATATATCTGTTTAAAGTGTCCCAGCTCATTTATGTAAGTTATTCATATGTTTTGTTTTTAGGCTTTTAAACCTCAGTGGAGTCCCTTTAATGTAAAATTCCAAAGGCAAAGTTGTACATGTGGTCAAAATATCAAAACCTTAAGGTATATACATGTAGTAAAAGAGAATTTTATTTTGTCGAGACTGTTCCTATATAACTCTATGTAAAACTGATAGGCTTTGGAGCAGGACCATTTCTGAAATATGAACAAGCTTGTTAGAGTATCAACAGTTGATGTTGCATACCTAATATCAATGCTCTACACCTTGTGATTAGAGAGAATATTTTCCTTTAGGCTGCATTGCAACCGGAGTTCTGCATGTAATGAAAATCATTGAACAACATTGGTAGCTCTTCCAACAAGGAATATCCATTGCAAGTTTTATCAAATTTGGCCAAGTTGTATTAAAGTAAAAGCTGCAGGCCTCCAGATGAGCGAAAATGTTTCAATAAAATCAAATTTGAGAAAAATGTACTAAGATTTTAGGAAATGTAAAAATATTCAAGATGCAAGTAATAATTTAAATGTTATGTGGGATTAATGACTGATTTTTCAGTATTTATAACTTTATTTCTACTGCATTACTAACACAGTATGGGCAATTTTTGCATATTATGTCCTCTTTTTCGTAATTTACGTGGGCTGTAAGTGCCATTGATAATTTGTAAATTGCTCTCTTTTTGTTATTTCACTAAATAATACTTTTAACCACATTTTCAAAATTTTCATGAAAATTAGCCGCATGAATCTGGAGGCGTGCTGCTTTAAGACAAGATCCAAAAATATATAAATGTCTGATATAATTTTTATGTATCTGTTGCCATAGCAACCAGATTTTTTTTCAGAGGAACAAAATGAAATAATGTGCATTATCCCCATCTATCAATAATTAAAGTTTCATTAAAAAGTACTTCTATTCTGTACTTTAACAGTTATTACAAGATCCTAAAATGTATCCATTTTTGAAATAATTTGTCTATTTGGTGCCATAGCAACCAGATTTTTTTTTCAGAAGAACAAAATAGAATTACATGCACCACTTCCATGTTGTCATCTGTCTATATTTCGAGTTTCATAAAAAAAAACATTCAGTACTTTTAAGTTTTCCCAGGATCCCCAAAGTGTGACTGACAGACTGATAGATGATGGTAAACCGCGGTTTTACCAAAAGGGACTATTAATAAAGTATTTCGCACCTATGCTATGTATGCCACAAGACCTGATTTTATATTTATTTTTATTGTGTTTTGTACCCTGCTACACCTTTAAGCAACCCAAAACCCTAACACCAGTTATGTAGATTATTAACACATATGTTGTCAATAAACAGGATTTAAAATCATACATTGTCATTTAAGTACATGATGTAATACTATACTTAGATGGATAACAACAAATCATAAAATATCAACATTTGCCCAGTTAAATTTGCTACCAGCAAGGAACCAAGCTAACATACCATACCATCTAACCACACTTAAGACTAAATTTAAGAGACAGGTCAAATCATAAAATGAATGAATTTGCAAACCTGATTCTAAACTAGTGGCCAAGCACACCAAAATGAAATTTTCATAAGGGAATGTGCTAAAACATTACTGACTGATTAAGTCTAATCACATATTGTATGTGATGTACACGAATAATGTGTTCAATATAATACAGGTGATAAAAATAATACAAGAATGATAAAGTTGAAATGCATTGATTAAAACACTAAGAACTAGAGCTATCAATAAAAGTGATTAATACCTCCACCAGCAACTTGGACTTTTTAAAGAAAAAAAGTGGTCAGAAAAAAAAATTGAGCTCAACCTATAATTAATTAAGTACCAACAGTGTACAAAGAATTATTTCAATCAATTGCAATCCAAACCAGGACTCATATAAACTTGTTTTATATTAAATTTGAGTGTTATATCTCATTCTTAACTGAAAACCATGTTTCTATCTTAAGTAAAAATGATCCTGTATCCCAGGGGGTCAAAATGCCATCCCAACCAGGGTTTCCAAATAAGACTGCTAAATACCAAGATTGATAATAACATCTCATTTTTAAGTAATACCTTCTAGAAAACATTTTTTTATTTTTAGTAATGTTGACATTGACCCAAAGGGGTCCAAAAGCAATCCCAACCAGGGTCTTCATATAAGCTTGCTATATACCAACGGAAACTATGATGTAGACCGACCGACAAGCTGACTCCAATATATCCCCCTTAACTGCGTTTGTGGGGGTATAATTATATGAAGAAATTGCCTAAGTGACTTGAGTCACAACAGTCCACATATTGCAAGTTGTTTAACAATGAACTTCCCACTTAAGTTTCCACACACAGAAAAATTATGATCACACAGATTTGGCTACACTACATCATCATAGCAGCTTTTTCAGTTTCTTCTTTTCCAATGTGATCCAATTATGAACAGTGTTTTTTACTTTTTGCCACGACAGATGACTGAGAACTTCATATTTGTTAATAACTTTCTCACAATCCACTTGCCGAAGTTCCCTTCTCAAATCCACATTTGCTTTAAACAACTTCTTTAATAAGTTGCTTTGCTCATCACTAAGCCTCTGCACCTTTTCTGAAAAAGAAATTAAATGGCCTAATTTCTAAGTTTTAAACTTTCCATAAATTTACATGAATTCATTTATAAGTTTAATGCACCACTCATTTGTTTCTACCACCCTCTTGGACAGGGATTTTGATTTGTGGTTTCCAAATTCCAGCTTAGTCCCCGTACTGCAGGGACACTTCAGAATCTCAAATCCCGCCCTTTTCCCTGCCCTGTGTAGATAAACACATTGTCTAGCAGTTTTTGCAAACCATGGCACTTAAACCTCAGTCCACGTCCAGGCTATCCCTGACCCCTCCCTGGTCCTGGGGAGGGGCGGTGAAAACAAATGACTGGTGCATAATGTTTTACAGCTTTGATTTATAAGCCAGAGTTAAAACAACACAGTGAACACAAAAGCTTCTGAAGTCTTTAAATTATGTATACTGTACAATGGTATCCAACTACTGTAGGTCGTTCCTTTTCAAAAATGTTTTTAAACTGATATAAATGGGTTTAAGAAACATCATTTAATCGAAAACAATCAAGTTCACAGATCATTATTAAATAATCATTGTGTGTGTTGTGTGATAAATGCTTTCGAGGGATCACTTTGTTTCCAGATTTTTATACTTCACAACAGCAGGTGTCAAGTGCTGTGTGGCAGCTGTAAAAAGTTGCCCCATACTTCACCTCAGTGTTGTTATATTTTTCTAGTCCTTTGGGATCATTGATGCCAGCACTATTTAGTGTTTAGAATTGAGTACAGCTCAAGCCAGTGCTAGGGGGAGTGAGAGATGTTGCACTTATTTGATATTTTGTTGTGATTAATGCTTCCGAGATTTGTTTCCAGATTTTTCCTTTTTGCTTTAATAATAATCCATGTATAAAATAAACCAGAGCTGTCGGAGGAGACAGCAATGCTCAACTAATTAAAAGCTGGATGCAGTAAAGGAAGACAAAACTTTGAAAAAATAATCAATTATGATATAAATATAATTCTGTGTCAATAACAAGAAAGCTATAACAATTTTCAAGGGGGATAATTCTGTTAAAAATTAGTGATAGGGTTGTGAATCTTATCACACATCATGTGGGGGATGATAAGAAATATATTCTAGTATTTGAAGTTTGAAGAAGATACCTTAAGAAATAAAGAAGTTACAGCAAAAAATAACAGTTTTAAAGAAAGTTCTATTGGGAGATGATTGTGAAAATATTGTTGCTATAGTTAAAATTCTTATCACATATTATTATGTGGTTGATGATAAGAACCTATATTTTGTAGTTTGAAGTTGATACCTGAAGAAATAAATAAGTAAGAGTAAAATAATTAAGGAAATTTCTTAGTTAAAAGGGTGATAAACTGATAATTCTAAAAATATTCCATTTAGAGTTATGAACCTTGTCACATCAGACATGGCTGATGATAAGGAATATATATTTGAATTTTGAAGTTGACACCTTATAAAATAAAAAGGTAAGGGTAAAAACTAATATTTTTTTAAGGAAATTTCTAAGTTGAAGGGGAGATAATTCTGAAAATATTTCATTTAGTGTTATAAACCATGTCACATAAGATGTGGTTGGTGGTAAGGAACAGATATATGAAGTTCAAGGAAGATACCATAAGAAATCCTAGTCACATAAAATATGGTTGATGATTATAAAGGAACATATATTTGAACTAAGAAATAAAGATGAAAGAGTAAAAAACAATATTTGTTAAGGAAAATTCTAAGTTCAAGGGGAAATAATTCTGAAAATATTGCATTTAGAGTTATAAACCTTGTCACATAAGATCTGGTTGATGATAAGGAACATATATTTGAAGTTTGAAGTTGATAACTTAAGAAATAACAAGTTATTGTAAAATATTTTTTACTGCACAAAAACTTTAATCTGAAATCTGGATGTGGAGGCCAACGTCAGGGTGAGTAAGAGAGCTCTCCATATAACTTTGTATACTCAAGCTTAAAAGGAACCACCTTCAATAATACAGAAGTTGGAAACCATTGGTTAACAAACATGTAAATTGATTGAAAGTAATATAAGAGCAACCTTAATTATGATTACTTTTCCTGCTTACCTAGCAGATACAGTCCAACCCCAATTATTTGAATTGCTTGGGACAGAAAATTTATTTCGAATAATCAATGGCTTCAAATAATCGACATCCGAATATAGTGATAGACTACAATTATTGAACTTTGGCCATACGCCGATTATAGCAAAAAGTACCTTTTACAACACAATTGCTTTCATTTATCAAACGAAATAAAAAACAAAATGTGCATATAAACATAAAATTTTATTGGTATTGAATACATAAATACTTGCATTTTATTCCATATTATTTAGTCCATTTAACGTATGTACATGAAAATTATCATTGTCATCTTCAAGCATTCCCAGTAACAACATATTGGGCACGATGCAGTATTTTAATCATAGATAAGATATATATTCACAATTAGGATATCTTGTGCTAGTGGACATAATGCACTAATTTGAATTCTAACACTATCGAAATTTTTTCTATATAAACAAAGAAGGCCCGAAGCGTGCATTATTCTACAACAATGCACTCGCCGTTCTTATTATCTCCCTGTGTATTTTCACATTGAGGGCGCCATTTTGTTTGAAAAATCTGATAAATAAAAACAATTTTTTGTCGAATTTTGTTGTGAAAACTATCTAGAATGAAAGAAAATGGTCTAACTAAGAAAATAAATCCGAACACCAATATCTTTAATTCAGTCGTTAACGCTGTACAGACGTTTAAAATGTTGTTTACGTGACGTCACAATGTAGCGCCAAACAGCACGTACAAAACAATCAAATTAAGTACGCTATTTTAATGTCGCAAACGAGTTAAGTTTTACATTTATTTCAGTTTTAATAATTTGTATTTCGCTTGAAAATTATAGAGTGAAAAAAAATTAACAAACAAAGAGTTATATCAACGTATAAAATTCGTTATTCTTAAAATGTTTTTACACACGGTAGATTTAACGACAGTTTTTTTCAACCCATTGGAACAGCCTTTAAAGAACGTTTCTATTGGAAACTCTGAGACGAAAACAAATTTAACCGCCAAACATGAAGTCCATCTTTATAATAATAATTATATTTTTTCTTGACGTGTTAGAATGGAAATAGATATTAATTCTTCGTGCATTATTGTATAATAATGCACGTTTTTCGTTCAAATGCTTTGTAATTAATCACTCAGGCCTAGCGGCCTTCGTGATTATATTACTACGCATTTGAACTCAAAACGTGCATTATTCTACAACAATGCACTCAGAATCAATATCTATTTCCTAAATAGAATTTTTTTTCAGTATTCATATGCAAATATGTGGTAGTGTTTGCTTGTTTATTTATTTCTTATTTTAAATTGTTTACTTTCATTCTTTGATTTAATTAATTATTACATTGAATTATTACTTTTAACCGTCCAATAATCAAACAGAAATCACTCACATGCAAGTTGTTTTCGGTAATTAAATAATAAAATTAAAAGACACATAATTATCACGATAGTCTAAATACATGCACGGCTGTTAGAAAATTTTCACAAGTTAAGACCGTCACCGAGTTGATCAGCGTCAATTAGTCTGGCTTTGAATAATTGGTGTGAAATTCTTTCATAATTGTATGATTGGGAACGAAATTTTACTTCGAAAAACAGGAGGTATTCGGAAAATGCATTTCGAATAATACGCTTGTATTTATATTGATTACGGGACCGGCGATGTACTTCGGATAAAGACCGGGTATTCGAATATAGGGTTGTCAAATAACCAGGGTCAGACTGTATATCATATGCGTAATGAATTTAGAGACATTTTCAATAAATGGAAATAACATTACTTTCATTTTTGCAAGTCTTAGTGTTTCCTTTAAAGAGCTTAGCTAGGTACAATATGCACTGATTTTGCATTCAGGAAAATCATGTATCTGCATAATTTACTTATTTTTTATTAATGAAATGGCTGCTATAGTAAATTCATCCACTATTTTAAAGAAAAAACCTTTTTTGTATTGGAAAACAGCATATATATAATAGAGGCAAACTAGATGTTTTTCTCCCCCAGCACCTGATTGAACAAAGATAAAGAAGAGCTAAATAGCGAATATATATATATATATACACTATATATATAAACTGTTTCCGCTCACCCAGAGCTTGCATAATATAAAACTAGAACTCCGTGAGTCGGATGTGTCGCCTTGTGAACAATATAGATTAGGAGAAATGGCCAGGATAAAAATGATATTTGAAAATCAACAAAGGGCAATAGCTCAAAAAATAAGAAATGCAGAGCAGCAGTTTCTGTGCATTGCACTTCTTACCAATAAGATCTATCATCCTACTAAGTTTCAAGTCTAAAGCTTTTATAATTTATGACATATGGCCTGGACAAAAATAAAGTATGAAAATCAACAAAGGGCAATAACTCAAAAAATAAGAAGTGCAGAGTACTGGTTCTTGTGCACTGCACTTCAAGTCATTGTAAGAAGCATCAGCATACCAAGTTTGAAGTCAATCCGACTTATGCTCCGGACAAGCTTAAGGGGAATTCGACACCTACAACGACGCCAACACTGCCGACAAAAGTAACCCCTATATGCCTTTTTCAAGGCGACACAAAAATATGTATATAAATATATATATATATATATATATATATAATATATATATATATATATATATATATATATATATATATATATATATATGTGAAACAACACTTTAGTTTTAGAGCGCAAACAGTTGTCACACTACAGGTCCCTGTGACTTTGACTTTTGACCTAGTGAACCAAAAACCATATGGTTCTTTTATTCAAGAAAGGCAAGTATCTTTTAAAGTTTAAAGAGTGTAGGTGTAATGGTTTTCCAGTTATTCAGCAGAAACAGTTTTCACTCTACTGGTCCCTGTGATCTTGACCTATGACCTACATACCCCAAAACTGAAAGGGTTCTTTTACTTGTGAATGGCAATCATTCTGTGAAGTTTGTAGGCTCTGGGTTGAGTGGTACTCAAGTTATTGAGTAAAAACCATTTTCACTCTTCAGTTCTGTGTGACCTTGAGCTTTCATTTACTGATTTCAAAAACAATAGAATTCTCCTACTCTATGACGGCAATCATCCTATGAAGGTCGGAGGCTCTGGATAAAATGGCAGTGAAAGTACTGAGCAGAAACCATTTTCACTCTTCAGGTCCCTGTAACCTTGACATTTGACCTACTGACCCCAAAAACTGTAAGGTTCTTCTACTGAATAGGGGCAATGATCCTGTGAAGTTTGAAGGCTGTGGGTCAAAAGGTACTCAAGTTACTGAGCTGAAATAAAACGTAACAGACAGACAGACAGATGGATGGGGCAAAACATGTCTCCCCCAGATGTGGGGAGACATAAATTATCTAACATGTCTCCCTTTCATGGATGGATGTGAACATGTATGATTCTATTGACAAACCATGTTTAATTTCTATTAGGAATTCTGTCTTAGTTGATATTGATGACATGTATATATTCAAACAAGAGACATCATCTGTGACTTTCAAGGATGACATGATGATTACATTAAATACTTACTAGGTTGGCCAGATTTGCTCACAGTTGACTTAACAGGTTTTGGCTGTCGCTGTGACGGCTTGGTAATCTGGTCTGGTTCCAGATCTGAAAGATGGTAAGTTAACTAATTACATGTACAATTTCATATGTATATAAAAAACAAGAGGGCCCAGATGGCCTTTTATCTTTCACCTGAGTAGACCTTCATTTAACATGTTTATAAGTTTAAAGTAATAAAATTTTCAAAGATTTTTGAAATATAATACTTTGTAAGGGGGCATGTCCCTGTAGTTTGGACATAATTTTATCCAAAAGGCATAAATTGCACAATATTTGAAAACAAACACTACATGCAAAATATCAAAGCTCTTTGCATTGTGGTTTGACCAAATTTTCAAAGATTTATCTACATAAGACTTGTCAATCTCCTACGCAGTTATCTCCCCTTATCAGTACAGAGATCTCTGCCATCACAAACATTGAAATATCAATATTTGGATATTTATATTTTTTAGCTTTTTAATTTATTTTTCATTATTTTGTATACTCTTGATAATTTTTTGATAAAATATAACAGACGTAGGTACAAAAAGGTAAAAATAAAACAGAAAGAGAAAAATGACGTAAGATTTTCTATGTAACGGTTGATGTTTACATTTGAATTTCCACGTTACGTCATGTGACTTTCATCATCATGTGACGTCTGTGAAGGTAGTGATTACAATTCTGCCAAAGGGAGGTAATCACTGTGAGGAGTTTGAAGACTTGTATGTGAAATCAGGATGGGGACATTCTTGGCTGCAGGTGCACAATTTTAAATATCTTTATAAATGGTCAAATAATCTTATTAATGCAAAAAAATACCTTCTTCTTCATTTACTTCATCATCTATTTCTTCCTCACTGCTTAACTCCTCAGCTGTCAAAGAAATCATTGTCACACTTCAATAATTGGAAATGAGCATAATTTGAACAGAATAGAGCTGCCACAGGAGTGACAAATACCCCACCTGCTCCCTATGACACAGACTAATTTGTAGAGTCAGTGTACCCGGAGTCGTACACTTTTTTAAGTAAAAATAAGAAAATTATCTTATAGTTAAAAATTCTTCTTATAATAGATATTATTTTGAAAATTACATCCTTTGCCCATAAAAACTGATTACCGAAACATTTCTATCTTAAGTAGGTCATACTTCTAGGCGCACTTGATTTTAAGCAACAGGAATGGGCCAAATATGATAAATAGTGGACTCGGTTCCGCACACAAGGCCATTTTTATACTGAAAGGTTATTTTACAACTTAAACATGTTTTATAAAGTATTCAACATCTGTAAGTCCAGATAAGTTATATTTCTTTGCAAATTTTCAGGACTTCAAATAAATTTAATGCACATTCTTACTACAGTATACAAACATTTATTTCCAAGCATAGTAGCACACAGGAAACATGTAACAGCAATTGAAATATACTTTTTACCACTTGTAGGTAGTAAAGACAGACATAAAACATTATTATTGAAGGTTTTTTCATCTGTTTAGTTATGATTTGTTCGATTAAGAGTTTGGTATCATTTTAAACAAAAGAATCAAGGTGAAATGACTTGACGTTTGGTAGTTGGGAGAAGTTAATTCATGTGCATATATTTCATAACTAACAGCAAATTTGCCATAACAAAAACATACATTTCTTTTCAAATATATATTTTATAATGATCTTAACATTAAAATAGAAATTAGCATGGTTTAATTGCTGAATAAGTTGTTTTTATGTGTGACCTACACAGCCATGTACATGTATTTACATTTTCGTCTGCACTGTCTAGGGAGAGGCTGGGGTGCAAGATCCCAGATTATGTCATATCCTGTTGAAAACATGCCAGTTCAGTGAAACACAAATGAAAACTAAATAAATTCATTTGATTTTTTTAAGAAAAAATGAAAAATGGGAAAGTGTGCGGGACCGGGTCCTGTGCGGAACCGGGTACACTGACTCTAGTGCAATTCAAGATTAATTATAAACAAGACGACCATGATGGCCCTGAAATCGCTCACCTGTATATAGGCCCCTGGGCCAATGCCAATTTTAAACCAGGGACTTTTATTGAACAAACTTGGTTACATAAGACAGCTATTAGAAGATGTTTCATGATAAATATCTAAGCTCTAACTCTTTGGGGTTTTAAAAAGAAGATTTTTTAAGTTTTTACTCTATGCAAAATAATGAAAATCAATGACCCCCCCCCCCCCCAATGCCGGCCCAATTTTAACCCCAGGGCATTTATTTGAACAAACTTGGTAGACACCCACTGAAAGATGTTTCATGCTTAATATTCAAGCTCTAGGTATTTGGGGTTTTTAAAACAAGATTTTATAAGTTTGAACTATATACATATAAGGAAAAACAATGACCCCCCGGGGCGGGGCCAATTTTGACCCCAGGGCATTTATTTGAATAAACTTGGTAGACACTGACTAGGTGATGTTTCATGCCTAATATTTAAGCTCTAGCTCTTGTGGTTTTCTAAAAGAAAATATTTTAATTTTTTACTATATACAAATAAGGAAAATCAATGACCCCTGGGGCGGGGCCAATTTTGACCCCAGGGCTTTTATTTGAACAAACTTGGTAGACACCTACTAGAAGAGATGTTTCATGCTGAATATTTAAGCTCTAGCTATTTTGGGGTTTTGAAAAGAAGATTTTTTATGTTTTTACTATATACAAATAAGGAAAATCAATGACCCCCCGGGCGGGGCCAATTTTGACCCCAGGGCATTTATTTGAACAAACTTGGTACACACTGACTAGGTAATGTTTCATGCCAAATATTTAATCTCTAGCTTTTGCGGTTTTCTAAAACAAGATATTTTAAGTTTTTTCTTTGGGTTGCCATGGTGATAGATCACCGGGAAAACTAAATTCAATACGCCCATCGGACCAAGAAAATTACTGTCCTTCAAGACAATATGTGCGACAAGAGTCAATATTTCATTAAATAATTAAATCTCCATCGCTTACTAATATGCACTGCTTACCAGCAGAAAACGTAATTCAGCTAAGAATAATTGAATCGCCGAAAAATGTTAAATCCCAAGCAATTGTTGACCCTCCCATATGCAACGTAGAATGTCATTAGCCAATCAGCCTTTTAACTGTGTCAAAGTCAAAAGCACCCAAATACATCTTTATTTGTCTGCATTTTTAGCAAATCTACATGTTGGATTTTTTTATTTTGGAATAAAACAATTATGTACACAGGTAATTTTAAACATACATATTACGAATAGAAATATGTTCTGTTATATCAGCGACTTGCAGAACTGTGGTTGTATGAGTTTTGCATAATGCTTTTTATGTTTAAAAAAAACCCTAAAAATGCCAATTTACCATTAAACTGTAGTCAGGAAAAAGGATGCCCTCACCCAATGTTCCTCTGTAAATTATGGAAAGTGAGTCACTTAATTCATATGATTAACATTGTTACATACACACACGGAATATGTGAAGGACAGCAACTTTTGTCTTTGTTAAACAGATATTGAATATGCATTTAAGTATTTTGTTCATCCCTTTTTACCAGAATTCAAATATTAAGAGACATGTGAATTAAATATTGAATTTTTATACCAGCCTACCATATACATTACTTATTTAGAGATAAAAGAAATTGTCCAAAGTTTTTTTCTGTGGTTAAGGACAAATGACCCGAACTTTTTTTTATCATTTAAGGACACCTGTCCTAAGGTAAGAAGATCAAATCTGAATCACTGACAGCAGTGAGGACACAAAATGCTACAAGATTTATAGAGCGGCCACTAAAGTGTTTGACATTGACCTTCAAAGGTGTACTTGACTTTGAGTCTGCACAGAAATGCATTGGTTCTGCACATCGCCCTGTTAAGGTGAAAATCTTTATGAAGAAAAGGGTTTATAGGGCAAATGTCTGATATTTGACCTTTACCTCCCAGGGTGACCATTACCTTGAGTCAGCAAGGCTTTGACAATGATTCCATACATTGCTATGTTGAGGTTTACATTTGATATAAGGAAATCTATCAATGGGATAAGAGTTTCAGAGAAATTGTATATTTGACCTTTGACATTTAAGGCTGACATTCAACTTAATATTTTAGCAAAATTGAAAGAAATTCCTTCAGCTGGTAATTATCTACTAAAAGGGCCACACAATTGTCTGATAGTTAACCTTTAACCTAAGATTGTGACATTTATTGACCTTGAACCAACACAGCAGTGAATGGGATTCTGTAAATCATCTTCAGCCAAGTTTGAAGAAAATCCGTCAATTTACAGAGCTGACACAAACCAGGCCTCGACACTAACTTTTTAAGCAGGTGGTATGCCGGACCACTAGAATTGAAATTTAAGTGGTCCTTCCAGAAGTCAGGTGGTCAATTACTATTATTATATCATTTTACTGCAAATTTAGACAAAAATGCTTAGAATTGACGACAAGGTGTATTATTAACCTTTAAAGAAAAAACAGATATTTTAGATATATATCTTTTTTAAATCAGAATTTAAGGAGAGCAAGTCAGTAGGTGTTTTCTTTCGTTCAGTTATTTGTTGTTTTTTTATCTCATTCAAAAATACACATCATAGCTCTTAACTTATTTAGTAAATAAATTATTTATGTTAACTTTTATATTGAAGTGATTTCTCCCTCAACTCAAGTTAGGTAATATTGAAACCATTTGTGCCTGTCATTTTTTTAACTGTTATTTAAATATTTATTGCTGATACGTGGTACGTCTAATAATCATGATATATTATAGATTAACATTTTAAATAAAACTAATACATTATCTTATTCTTGACTTTGAAAACAAGGAAATATCTTAAGGATAAAAAAATATTATAACTATAGTTTAGCTTATTTTTCTCACTGATTTAAAATGAATAAAGAATTTTTACCTCTCTGTTGCTTGTTGATTAATTGATATATATTTTTGACATTGAGTATTTTTAACCTTTTAAGGTAATTTTAACTCTGGAAAAAATGGATCTCTTATCGTTAAACATAAGTAGCAAAGAATTACTAGATGCATTTTTCCAGTTCCTGTCGTTCGCTGCCATTATTCAAGTATCTGAAATTTAAGTTTATCCGATATCCCATACAATATCGTAATTACCATCGTCGGATACCCACGGTTGATTAACATGCAACCTAACATAAATGTCAATGGTCCCACCGTGGGTATACAACGATGCATAATTACTAGCATCATTTGAATGAATTTGTACCTATATTAATAGCACAAATTCTTAACTCTTTTAACTTGCATAAACACAATTTTAGCGACTTAAAATGAAAGTTATTGATGACTGAACTTCTTTAACTAGTCAGAGATTAGTGAACCATATACAATGCACATCGGACAAATGATTTTAAACAAAATGGAAATAACATATTTTTGACCAAATCGCAAAATTGTATCCCAAATAAGCCTGCATAAACCAGAAAATGCAAGTGGTCCGACGGACCAGTGGCTATTAAAATTAGGTGGTCCTTGCCAAAATCAGGTGGTCTCGGACCAACGGACCACCGCTAATGTCGAGGCCTGCAAACTTATCTGATATTTGACCTTTGACCTCCAATGTGACCTTGACCCTAAGCCTGCAAATAGGTAACATGGTAACACTGCTATTTGTGGTGAACATTTGAGCAAAGTTTGAAGAAAATCCTTCAGCTGGTCAAGGATTTATAGAAGAGCCATAAAATTAAAATGTTAACCTTTGACCTCAAATTATGACCTTGGCCTTGAACCAGCAGAGAGGTTACATGGGTTCTGCAAATCTTCCTGTTGAGGTAAACATTTCAGCCAAGTTTAAGGACAATCCTTCAAGGGGTATAAGATTTACAGAGGGGACAAGAAATTGTCTAGTATTTGACCTTTGACCTCCAGAGTGACCTTGAGCCAGCAAAGTGGTGACATAAATTCTGCACACCCTCTTGTTGAGGTTAACATTTTAACCAAGATTGAAGAAAATCCTTCAACGGTTATAGGATTTATAGAGCAGACACGATGGAGCAGATGGATAGACTGACCGATTGACAAAGTGATTCCAGTATAGCTGTAAATGTTTGTAGTTGAATGTCATAATAACCATTAAAAGTGTCTGCAAAAAGTATACAATTGACTAAATTATTCATATGGTTAATGACATTTAAACAGAAAAGTTTGTAAAACATGTATGCACCCCCCCCCCTCCCCAAGGGCAACCTATTTGATATATACTTTAATCTGGTGAGCTCATAATTAATAGGTTTTTTTGTCATGACCAACCTCTAAGCAAAATTCATAGGCCAACTCCCATAAATAAATTATTTTCCAGAAAATGTTTTAATCTTAACACTGTGACCATGACCTTTGACCCCAAAATCAATAGGTATCATTTACTTATTTATTGATCAGATAAGTTTGTCTATGGACCGACCGACCAATATGTGCAAAGCAATATACCCCACTTCTTTGAAGGGGGGCATGAAAAACTTAAACATTCACTTACTTTCATCCACTGCAATTTCATCCAACGATTTGCCATTGTACTGGCCAATAGTACCATTGTTAAAAGCCGTCAACAGGCGTCCCATTCTTGCCACCTGAAGCGTTTCTTGTGGGAGTCTATAGAATGTCCTGTGTATGTTTATGTCATGACCCATGAAACTGGCTATGATGTCAAGGTCGTTCTTGTTTAAGCTAAGCACTTGTGCCACTGTTGCAACATGTTTCCGAAGTCGTGTAGTAGTTATCAATTCAGGTTTTGTTAGACCTGCTGCCTTAGCAAAGTTTCTTAACACATCTGAACTCCTCAGTGATCCCAAAGAACCAAAGTTAGGCCTAGGGAACACATATTCATTGTCTTTGGCAACACCTACTTTTTCTCTCAATCTCAGTAGGAGATCAATACACGTCTGTGCATTGTGGGTCAGCAATACAGGGACAGTGCGTCCCCTTTTTCCTCTAATTTCCACTCTGGACATGGTATTGAGAAGGATTTTTTCAGTTGCACTAAGCGACTGTGTTATTTCTTGAGGGCAATCTTTATTCTGGCTTCGTGAATTGTAAGCGCTGACAAGCATTCTTTGCGTTTCACCACCTCTCCTTCGATTAAATATTACAAGCTGTGCCAATGTTATTTGGTTCAGTAATTCCCATTCACCTTTGTCAAAGTTCTCATTAAGTGTGTCCAATAAAGACTCTGTTTTCTGATCAAAATATTTCTTCAGTTTCATAATGTCCTCCGATAACGGCAACAGATGTCCTTTGTTCATTTTGTTCGTAGAAAGTGTTTGCAGAGCAATAGTTGATATTTCGTCAGTCCATTCATCTTCACACAAAGTTAAGAAATTGTCTGCTTTCTTTCCTTGTTCTACATCACCAAATATCAAGGCTTCAGACTTAGCCACTTTTGAACATTTTTTTAACAAGTGTCCTAACTTGAGAGCTAATGAAGGATTTGCGAAAGTATTTGTTTCTGCATTGTACGCGCACAAAACCTTAGTAGACTTTAGTACAACAGGAAATTTTTCAGGGCTTAGAATGTCGTTTAAACAATTTATACGTGAATCTTGTTTTCGTGAGCATATCAAGAACCGCCCAAGTTCTCTCATTTTCTGGCTTATGTGAGAATACAGATGTGGCAAATGCCCATGCTTTTGATAGAGTTTCTCTCCAACTTTGAGAATAATTGGATCATTACGTACTACAATTGTCACTTCATCTCTCACCATCCTTCCAAACACATTCTCTTTCAGTCCTTTATTAATGTTGTTGGTAGCAGGTAGGAGAAGCGCTGCGTCAGCTTGTACTCTTCTAGATTTTTTCCCTGAAGACAAAGAACATTCTTTTTTGTGTCGCCAAAGAGAATCTTTTAGAAAGAAACCTAGACAATCCTCACAGGGAAGATAATCCCCTGGATCATTATCATGAGATTGTCTGGACACAACCACTAGTGTACCTTTCCCTTCCTTCAAAGCCTGGACATTATGCTTGTAATTGCCAGCATTTCTAATGCGAGTTAGTTCCACACTCCTTTCATGCGACTTTTTAGGCAAATCTAAAATATGTTTCACTTCATTTTCATTTTTGTGTTTACTGAAGAAATGTTTCCGAAGGTTTGTGAAGCCATTCTCACAGTACATGCAGTACTGTAGCTTGTCCCATTTTCTCCCATTTTCATTGTTTGTAGTTTGGACACTTAACTTTCTCTTTGGAGCACTATCAGAGGTTGATGTCACTACATTATCTGATTCATCGTTATTTGTATTGGAACGCATTTTTACATAACTTGGTTTCATAGATAGTCCTGGAAAATTTTGAACTGGAATAACTTCTGATGAATCGGAGCCTGATGAATCAGAGATATAATCAGAATGATGAGACTCTAAATTGAAGTCAGGGTCATTATCACTGTCGTCAAGCTCAGTGCTGACATCAGATTCTGAAAATAAAAAATCATTTACATTTAAAACCCATTAAGGGATTGACCAAGCAAAGATGTAGCTGGTTGTTGTTGGTAGCAAGTGCATCTATGTCAACAGAAAGGTGTCATATGACATTGACTGCACATGCACTGTGAGGTATGAGGTACAAAAGCACACAAGAATGGTTATCCAATTAACACAGTACATACAGATAGAGGTACAATTACAAGAGGTAATTAATTTACGATAAATTATGGATATTCTGTATGATATGACTATATACAAAATCTTAACTGTCAAATTTAAAATATGAATTTTCTGGGAGGAGTTATGTGATTAACACAGGTCATGAACCTCCATTAGTTAACAGAAGCACATGGCAGTGTTTACATGAAAAATTGGAATAATGATATGAAAACAAAAACATTTAACTGACTTTGCTTGATATAAGTTTATATTAGGGCTGGGAACGAATAAGGAATTCGATGTTTGAATATTCGTTTTCCATATTCGAATATATTTGAATATTTGTTTTTTTTACAACATTTGTTTCAATATTTCTTTTTGACGTATACTTATTAGAAATTGATTGTGTCGAATACTATACTACTTTAATATGCTTGTAATAATCAGCGATTAAAAATACCTTTATTACTACATCAAAGTTTTTTTTAAATTTTATATATTGTAAATCTACATATACGAGGTATGTTCAAAAAGTTCGTGGATTTTTGCTGTCATTTTTTACTTAGTTCATAAAAACACCCTAAGTGGATATGAATTGAAAGAGTGTCTTTATTTTCAAAAGTAAGATTTACTTTTATTGTTAACTTTTATTTCCTTTACGAGTTATGTGCACTTTAATAACCATGGCAACGCAACATCGGCGCACGCCGAAATTTTCATATAATGTTAAAATATAAACAAATGTTGAAACAAATTAAATGATTGTTTTATGAAATTAAATACAAGTAATCATCTATTAATATTAAAATGACATAAATCTGACTTTTGGCGTCGTTTGGACGTTGAATAGTTGAACAAACAAGTTTTGAGCAGCAGTAGACAGACGGGTAAGTTGGGAAGTATAAACCCCGTTTAAAAACTAGAAATTCGCTCTTTCGGAAATTTTTACCAATAAATGTGGTATACTTCTTTATATTTTTATAAGGTGATTAAATAAACGAAAAACAATGAGTTGTCGAGCAAGTCTCTTTGTTTCAGGTCGCGCAAGCGATTCAAATACGGCAAATACATGCTCACAGGCAGAAAGGGCGACAAATAATTTTAGCGGCAAATTGTTGGGACGTTTGTAACGTCAATTGCAAAAGATCTACAGAAGTTCAGGCATTATGACAGTTTTGCGAGATGTCCGACATGTTTAATTTCTGCATCGGGTCTATGCATTCAATTCTGACAAAGCAATTTAATTTAATTAAAATAATATTTTATTTCTTTCATCAGGATATATGCGTATTTACAATAAATGCTTGTAGTTATTATTTGTATTTCCTGTATTTACCCTGGTCCGTTTGATAATTAATGCTAGCCGGTGTTCAGTAGATTTACCGCATAGAATAATTGTCAGTTGATAAAATATTTTCTTTATCATCAATAATCATATTGTTTAAAGATCAGACGAGGGCGGTTTCTAATTGATACTATCAATCAACAATTGAATTAACTTAATAACACTGTCCGTTTAGTGTCTAAATTACTCAAAAATCCCAATAAAGAGCGGAAAGTATGCGGCACTCGGACCTTTATACGGAGAATGGAGCGAATTGATGACCAATTTATATCTCGGGTCATCTCGCAAACAGAACAAGAACTGTCGGAGGACAGTAACGCTCGACTATTCGAAAATTTGTCACAAGGGTGTTTCATTGAGTATAATAATGCTTACCTATATGAATACATAAAATTGTCCGAAAAGGTACAAACTCTTCAAGTTTCAATACATTCCCTTCAGTAGTTATGGAGAGACAAGCTTACATGCAAAAACTTTACCAAGAATTCATGAGTCGAAAAAGGGGCATAATTATGCAAAAAAAGCAAATCAGAGTTATGGGACTTGTACCAATCATCTTAAATAATCACAGAGACCAAGTGTGTGAAGTTTCAATCCATTCCCTTCAGTAGTTATGGAGATACCAGCTTACATACAAAAACTTAACCAAGAATTTCTAAGTCGAAAAAGGGGCATAATTATGCAAAAAAAGCAAATCAGAGTTATGGGACTTGTACCAATCATCTTAAATAATCACAGAGAACAAGTGTGTGAAGTTTCAATCCATTCCCTTCAGTAGTTATGGAGATACCAGCTTACATACAAAAACTTAACCAAGAATTTCTAAGTCGAAAAAGGGGCATAATTATAAAAAAAAGCAAATCAGAGTTATGGGACTTGTGCCAATCATCTTAGATAATCACAGAGAACAAGTGTGTGAAGTTTCAATCCATTCCCTTCAGTAGTTATGGAGATACCAGCTTACATACAAAAACTTAACCAAGAATTTCTAAGTCGAAAAAGGGGCATAATTATTAAAAAAAAGCAAATCAGAGTTATGGGACTTGTGCCAATCATCTTAGATAATCACAGAGAACAAGTGTGTGAAGTTTCAATCCATTCCCTTCAGTAGGTATGGAGATACCAGCTTACATACAAAAACTTAACCAAGAATTTCTAAGTCGAAAAAGGGGCATAATTATGAAAAAAAGCAAATCAGAGTTATGGGACTTGTGCCAATCATCTTAGATAATCACAGAGAACAAGTGTGTGAAGTTTCAATCCATTCCCTTCAGTAGTTATGGAGATACCAGCTTACATACAAAAATTTAACCACAGGGACGCCGACGCCAGGG